ATATATATATATATATATATATATATATATATATATATATGTATATATATATATAGTCTGGATATGAATCTTTTGTCAGATATATTTGTGAAGAGCATCCTACTCTATTGTTTGATTTTTCACACTCTAAATGATGATTTTTGACATCCAGTTGGAATTTTAATATACTACAACATGTCCAGTTTTTCATGGTTGTGCTTTTTGTGTCCTATTTAAGAAATCTTTGCCTACTCCAAATTCAGAGGGACATTCTTCCCTGTTTTCTCCTGTAAACATTATTGTTTTATATTTTATGTTTAGATATGCAATCTGTTGTAATTTATTTTTGTGTGTATTAAAGATAGAAATTCAGCTACTTTTTTGCCTATATGGATATTCTACTCATCTAGCACCATTTATTGAAAAAATATTTCATTCCCCACTGTATTGCATTGTTGTCTGTGTCATAAATCTTAAGTTGCATTTCTAGATATATTTTTAAAATTTTATGCTATCTTGATAAAGCAAGACTTGGGTTATTTATTTTTTAATGTGATCTTTCCCTTTATTCTCAAAATATGATATAGTATTAAAGTCCAACAGGTATTGGGCTGGTTCTTGTATGGTCTCCAGTACTTTTGGGGGACACAGACCTGAGCCCCACAGGAATGTGAAAGCATCATCTCAAAAAGCTAACAGTAACTACAACTGTGTTAAGTCCAACTGCACAAGTCAAATCCTGGACATATTAATGGATGTGTGGTAGGGCTTGGGCTCCAGCTCTTTGGAAAGGGTGGGTGGGGGGCGGGGGTGGAAACTGTTTGGAGAAGATAACTGAGCTAAAGACAAAGGTCACAACTCTGGGATGTTAGTTCTCATTGGATGCAATAGAAGATTTGGATTAGAAGCATATTCAATATGCTATGTAAGCAATAGCTAACTATACCCAAGGGATGGATGTTTATGAAATTTGGATGGACCTTGGGCCCCTGAGACTGGTTTTTATCCTAGTAGATGACCTCACTCCTGTTGGTATAGATATGTAATTTTCCAAGTAATGAATCTGAGACATGCATCACCATATATTTTTTACAGTCTTTGTAACAAGAAATCTTGGTCTACACAGGCAGTAAGATTTAAGTATTTAATCTTCCAGTTAGGGAGTGGCTGACAGAAGGCCATCAAGTCTTAGATAAGGGAGGAATTTCCAGTATTATACAAATTGTTATCTAAATTCCTTTCCAAATATGGGAGAACAAAGAAAGTCTTTCATTATAGCCTCAAGGAATTTGGCTCAATGTGATTTTCAGGTCTGTTTGACTCTGGGGTTGTATTGCAAAAGAAAACAAACTAAAACAAAGATTCACTGGGGTAAAATATTTAGTAGTATGTAGGAAGCAGGATAGACTGGGGACGGTTGGGAATGACAGAAAGAGAAGGTAAGTACTCTGTAGCATGTATTGCTTGGAGATTTTTCAAATTGTGACTATCTGTGCTATGTTTCTTGCATTGCCATGTGGGTAGAAATGTGAGGGGTTATTTTCAAGCATTTTCTTGAGGTAAGCAGATGATTCAGCATTATAATCAATTCCAAAGGTAGGATGTAAGCAATTATTGTTACTAATCATTGTGCCTATGTCAGAAGAGCCTGGAAAGACTTCAGAGAAACATAGCTTTGCTTTGAGTCTTCTTTATCTTTTTAGATTTGGCTCATATATCTTCTCTTCTGGGCAGCCGCCTTTGATGCCCTTCTCCCTGGAAAAATGAACTACTTCCTTATTTGTGTGTTCCTCTCAATCATATCTATATTGTATGTGTATTATTTACTTTATTCATAATTCCTATTCTCTTTGTTTCTTGAGGATATGACCCTGTTTTATAAAAATTGTTGTTTTCCTAGGGACTAGTAAATTGTATGCTGCATAGTGGGTCTTGAGTGAATGCTTATATAATAAATATGTATTGAGGTATAAATATATTAAGACAGGCCAAGTAAATCCTTTTTTATACAGCCCAAATAAATTGTATGATTATAGTACATATTTTTGTGTAATGATATCCATTGTTGCTTTAAATGTCTAATGAGAAAATATGGTACTTACGCTATGTCACTTTCAATACTTAGCATTATTTTCTAACCAACTGTATTATGTACCAAATACTACAATATCTAGGCTACTGAGAGATTTCCAGATCGTTTTCATTATATGAAAGAAAAGTAAACTGAATATAATTCAGCAACCAGACTGCACTTCTAAGTTTCTCTTTTGTGCCTTGGGAAGTGGGTTGGCCATCATTGTAACTAATGTTCATTTCTGATCGTCACTACAAACTATGTTTTTCAGACTTACTTGCCAACTAGCTTCCAGGTAGATTAGGCCCATGGGAAGTAGGGGAAGGGAAGGGAAAGGAGGGATGTAAGAAGGGAAGGATGGGAGAAGCCTAGGCAGTATCTCCCTGCAGTGGCAGGTTTCCTCTATGGTTTTAGCTCCCCACTTAGACATCCTCTGCTGAGTTCTAGTTTTCCCACCAGTCAACCATGGCTTCTTGTCTCATAATAAGACTTTTCCCTTTTGTCTCTCTAACCCTAGTAGTGGTAGTGGCTTCTTGCTATTCTTGATCTTTCGGTTGCTTCCCTGTTGGTTTATCAGCTTTTCCATCACTCATTACCTGTGTATTAAATGTCCTCATTTAAATTACCTAGAGTGCTTTCCTGGCTGATCCCTGTCTAATAGGAATTATGGTAATTGCTTGTTTTTAATGCAAAGTTAAATTTTATATTATTTTCCCAGTCTGACATACAGAACCTAACTACTATATCTACTAATGGATGATAATAAGGCAATATATTCAGAGACAGTCATGGATTCACTGTTCTCAGGTATGAGAAGGGAAGGCCTCTTTAAATTTATAGAATTCCTGCTGTCAGAGGTACCGGAAACCTGTTCTGTGAGCTCCATGTTATTTCCATGTAACTTTCCCAGTTGTCCCAAAGAAAGTCATGCACTACAAGGCCTTTGGAGAGCTTCAGAAGCCATTGGTAGATGGTATTGTGTCAGCAGCAATTTGTGTGCAAGCTCATAAACATTACTGCATGGAAATAGATGTGGGAGTGAAGAATAACAATAGAGAGAGAGTGGTGACCAGAGAGACTAGCTGATGCGTCTAAAGAGGTGGCTTTAAGAAATCATTGTTGGCATTGTGGGAAGAAAATTGACTTCTGTTCTTTATTCAGTAATTTATTTAGCTGTAATCTTGGGCAGGCCACTTATTTTTCTGGGCTTTCTCTTCTCTAGAGGATGGAAATTGACATACCGACCCTGCTACTTTGTTTTGAGAATGAAATAGGATAAAGCATATGAAAGCTTCATGCAAAAGATTAGTATTATTATCAATTTTTTTTTTAATGGAAGAAGTTATCTTGAAATCCCGAGGATACTGACAGATATATTTGGTGAGAACAGAAATTTGAGGCAAGGTAAAGGGAGTGCAGCAGGTGCAAAATAGCAGAAATTATGAAGGGGTTCAAAATAATTAGATTAATAGAAGTAGTGCTGGAATGAAAGAACAAGGGAGCAAGAATCTCTAGCTTTTGAAAGGACACAAGAGGAGAAAACTAATTTATCTCATATTTTCTCATTTAAATCTTATAGTTTGTTCCTTTGTTAGTTATGGAACCAGCCTTCTTTAAAACCTCACTGATATATTTTATTTCATGATCCCTTTGGAGCACTGGATGCAACCAAATGCTCTTACCTATATTATGAAGTAGTAGTAGAGTGATTATGTCAGAAAAATAAAATTACCTGAGAAATTCTTCATCAAAATTTAGAGAGAATCTAGGATGCCAAACTCCTACATAAATTGCTTTTTGTTTCCTTTTTTCATGTGTATGACTAGTTGCCAACATTTATAAATGTTGTTCCCTTATGATCTCCATGTTGCTGTTCCCTTATGATCTCCACGGTCCTGTCACTTTGAAAATAGTTGACTTAATTATTTTTTTATGTGTGTGCCAGAATTCAGTTGCTTGAAAAGTGAACTATCTCTCAAATTCAGCTTGCTAATAAACCTTCTTAATGATTTTCTATGGGGAAAATGCAGTTTTATTTTTCTAGTGTTTCTTTCAAAAAGAAATTTTAACAACCATGCTAAATATAGTTTTTTGGGTTGAACCACATGATATCTTGAATCTTTTATAGCTCTAAAATTCTGTGACTATTAGTCTAGCACAGATGAATTTTACTGTTGTTGGAGAGGGCTGGTGGACATCAAAGAGAAGAGAGATGATGTAATGATATAATATTTTATTATTAAGTTGGAATTCATCACATGAAAATCTTTTTTCTAACCTAACAGCAAATGACAGAATTTTTACACTAAAAGGAGAAAATTAGCGGATCCTCTTTTCCTCAGTGTTAGTGATACTTCTTTGTAGTAAGTAATTTGCTATGTTTTTTAAGGCATAACAGTTACGTATATAGAGTACCACCCTGTTGACACCTATTCCTGTAATTCTAGGCTAGAATTAATTTGCAAAGTAGAAAGTGTTAAAAATATCCAGTCATTTAGGGATGCACAGCTATCCCTGCTAGCTGATTATTAAGAATTAAGCTTTGTGAAATCTGATTTCGCATCACTTTGTTACAAAACACGTGGATATATCTATATAAAGTCTTATGCTAAAATGTTGTTCCTGTCATAGATCTAGCTCAGATAATTTGCTTTGATAATAGTGGTCATCAAATTCAGAAGTAGCTTTGGAAAAGTAGAACTAGATTTGAAATGCTAGTGTAAAAACAGAGATCCGACTTGCCTTTCAGTATTGCATCAGGAAGATTCATGAGTTCAGGTTTGATAGAGTTTCTCAGAACCCTTGCTAAATTAATTCCCTTGGTTCACCATTCAGAATGTGTAAGCAAAACAGTTCAATATTATGAACATAAAAATTGTGTTATTCACTGAGATAAATAATTCACCCACAATAATGTTGCTAGTTAAACACTGGTTTATGATTCACTTTCTAATTAATTCGAGAAATGTGAAGCATATTTTCAAATATTTCTGTCTCCCAGTTTTCTGCCTCTGTGTCTTTCTCACTCTTATTAGCACTTGGGTGTTTTCTCTCGGCTTTACTTCCCCAACACAGCCCAGATTGAGCATACAACAGGGAAGAAGGAAGATGACACCAGTGTCACTAGCCTCCTGGTTCACTTTGCTAATCTGCCTCAACTGCCATCACTAATTATGGTGGAGAGATGACTACTACCATGGCCATTACTGCTGGTGCTGTATTTAAATATGCACTTGGAGAGCCATACATAATTTTTTCCACTTGATGAATTTATTACTCAATTTCTAATCTAGGAAGACAAGAGATTAACTTTCTAGAATTTGGGGGCTTTTTTACAGGATTATATACTCTTAATGGTGAAGTATGTCTTCCATTATAAAAGAGTGTTTGTAACATATACGTAGAGTTTAAAAAATAATAAAATAGACACTTATGTACTCACCAGTGAACCTAAGAATTAGGCTAACAGCAAGACCTTTGAAGCCACTTCTATAACACTCTCAAATGTTGTCCTCCCCCAGAGGTGATCTTAATCTCGATTTGTATAGTAACCATTCCTTATTGTCCTTGAATAACATATATATGAATATATGTCCTTGAATAACATATTATTTAATTTTTCCTGTTTTCATACTCATATAAAGAGAGGCATAGTGCGTATACTTTTGTGATTTGCGTTTTTCCTCAACAGGTTTTTGAGATCTATCCATGTTGGTATAGTTTATTTAATTTTATCATGATTTAGCATAGTATTGTATGACTATAATGAAATAATTTATTAATTTATTTGCCACCCATGGACATTCGGGTTATTTCTAGCTTGTTTTTTTGTGGGAGCTTTTTTCTTTCTTTCTTTCTTTCTTTCTTTCTTTCTTTCTTTCTTTCTTTCTTTCTTTCTTTCTTTCTTTCTTTCTTTCTTTCTTTTGCTATTACAAACTGTGTTATCTTTCTATTGCTGCATAACAAATTACCACACATTTAGAAGCTTAAATAGCATGAGTATGTTATTTTTATAGTTTTGTGGGTCAGGAGTCAGGGCACAGCATGGCTCAGCTGCTTTTCTTTGTTTAGGCCAAAATAAAGATGTTGCTTAGGACTGCAGTCTTCTCTGAGACTCAGGGTCCTCATCCAAGCTCATTCAAGTTGTTGGTAGAATTCAGTTCTCAAAGGTTGTTAGATTGAGGTATCTCCCTTCTTGTTGCCTGCCAACTGCAGACGTTTCTCAGCCCAGGGTCACCCACATTTCCCTGGCATGTGAACCATTCCACAGCATAGCAGTTAGCTAATTCTAGGTCAGCAAAAGAAATACCTTTAGCTTTGAATCTCTTCTACCTCTTTTCAGGGATCCCTGATTAGGTTAGGCCC